TGGGCATACCCAGGGTGAGTCAAGACAAGCTTTCCTGCAGAAATGTGGCGCCCAGAACCAAGTCCCCGTCCCCTAGCCCAGGCCAGTTAGCCCACAGACCTGCCCTCCTGGGAGGTTTGGGAAGTTGTGGGGAGTGTGATCTGAGCTGGTGGATCAGCAGAGACCCCTAGTGGCCTGGGGGTGGATGGCAGACAGCTGGGGTGGGGTAGAGTGGGAGACAGTGCCCCCCCAGCCCACCGCCATCTGCTTACCCCGACCCACCCACCCACCCACACATTCCTAGGGAACGGCACTGGTTTCTCTAAAATCCTCAGCTGGAAAGACCTTTACAGCGTCATCCAGTTCGAATCCCCTGCTTTACAGGCATCCTAGTAAGATAAACATTCTGGCTGTTTCAAAATAACTTAAAGGACAGTTTTTCTATCGGTTTTTTTCCTTCACTCCTTCCTTTCTTCCTCCCAACACAGTTTATTCCAGGAATTTCTTCCTTCAGTGGAAGTTAAGTCTCCCCGGGGCAACATAAGCCCTTTCCCTGTTAACAGTGAAGACCCGTGGCTCCAGGGACTGACCCAGCTCCTCCTAGGCCAACAGCAGACCCTGAGGTCAGAGTTCACAGTCATTGTCAGGTCACACATTGTCAGTTCACACCCCACCCTCCCACCCTCTACTTCCAAGAGTAATCCCAGAGACTTTCACTTTTTCTTCAGTAAGGTTTCCTTTTGCACGAATCATCTTTTTTTGTTCCCAAATGAGATTTGGAGTAAAACTCACCACAGTGAACACCGTGGCGCAGAAAGAGTGGCCGACCGCCCCAAGCGGCAAAGGCTTTGCAGCTTGTCCCCGGGTGGGGATAGGAGGCGCAAGCTGTCAGCCCATCTAAAGCTGCTCCCCTAACCTTACTGTGCCTGCTCCTGAGAGGCTCTGTGCCTCTCTGTGTCTCAGGGAAACAGCACGCGAGAATCAGCAGTGGGACAGCTTCTGGGGAGGCCTGCAGAGCCCAGCTCGTGAGTTTCCATCCAAGTCGTGGGTCACCTGGTCCAGGCCCTGCCACTGCATTCCCGGGAAACTCTATGGACATTTTCAGCTTTGGGGCCTATTTCGTACTCTGAAAGCACGTCCTACTGCTAGAAAGTAGGAGACCGCACACTTCCCAGTTAGATGGGATGGCTCCAACCAGGGAAGCCAGGCTTCTGGCAACTTTCCGAGGCTGGGAGACACCACAGACATGTTCCTGGTGGGACAAGGCAGAGCTCTTGACCTAAACAACCAGCTCTGAGCCCCTGGCTCCTGGACAGTTTGGGCAGGGATGAGGGACTCTGGATGCGGAAGAACGTCACGAAAACTGTACCACATGTGCTCCTCACCTCTTTTTGGGTGCTAAGAAGGACACAGCTCTATTTGGGTCCAGACACATCATCCACCTGGTTTGGAGTCTGATAAGCCCCAAGAGGAAGCTGTCAAGATGAAAATACTGTGTGCTTAGCCAACATCTTCTCCCCAAGGGGCTTCCTCTGCTCACGTAGTAGCCCCCTCCTCAGAAAAGACCATAGACCATTCCCAGGGCTTCAGAGCCCCCTTGTCTCCATAGACAAAGGCTCCAGAGAGCCAGACCTTGGGCTTGACCTGAAATGGCTGCAGTCAGGTCACAAAGCTCGTCCAAGACAGGGACGCAGCTCCAGCTCTGGAGCTTGGCCTGGGCCCGGGAACGTCTTAGGCAGGAATGAGCTGGGCATGTGGCAAGAACCGGTCACCGTGACTAGGTCTGCAGTCCCAGATGAATCTCCACTGCTGCTAAGAACCCAAGTGGCTCTAGGGACCTTCTAGGACAGGTTTTAAATCCTGACTATGCCAAGCCCAGCTCCCCGGGTGAGTAGCGTTAGCCAAAGGAAGCGGAAAATGATTTATTGGGTGTTCAAATGTGCCAGGAACCTTGCTTCTGTCAAGCCTGGATGTCTGATTCCAAGGCACATCTCTCTCTCTCTGAGCATCAGTGCAAGAGCCGAAGGACCCGCATGCGAGGCACAGCTGTGACTCCAGGAATTCACTTTGGTTCTCTGGACCTCAGTTCCTCTTCAGACAAATAGAATAATCTCTCTCCCGATGACATCATCGTAGCGGGGAGATTAAAATGAAATAGCATGGTGAAAGCATTGCTAATATTTGATACGTGCAACGAAGAGGTAGTCTCAGACCCACTGATCTCTGGGACCAGCTGAGGCAGGTTTCTAAATATACAGATTGCTGAGGGTCTGATTCAATGATGCTGAGAATCTGTGTCTTTAAAAACTCTCCAGGGCTCTGGCAGGTTTGTGAAACAGCTCGTATTTACAAATGTAAGGGGTGGATGTTATTCCCCCACACCTCAGCGATGCCAGATTTTGCTTCCTCTTTTTTTTGCCCAGCTAAGACGTGGCCAGCCCTGGCCCTGCCCATGATCTCTGTCCCTGAAGCTCTACATTCCATTCCTTTGCTGATATCACTTGGCTGCCTCTGGGCACGTCCCAGCCAACGACCCCAGAGTAGGAGGAAAGCGTAGGAAAGAGAAGAGTCTGATCTCATGCATAAGGCAAATTGCCTTTAGTTACCCAAACTCAGAACCTGGCATGGAGGCTAGCAAAACCACAGGGCAGAGAACCAGCCAGAGCTTGAATAAGCAGGTGAAGCATCCAGGCTCCTCACCCTTCTGCCTCTGGCAAGCAAATATGTGTGCTGGTTGAATCCCAAAATACACATCTTGTATTTATTTTACTGATTTTGCTTGTGTTTCCCTAACCTTGCTGGATACTTTTTCGGGGGAAAAGAAAGTCTGGGACAACTTTTTATGTGTGAAATTCCCAAATACCTTTACCCATGAGGAGCACCGTGGCATGAATGATTCCCGACAAGAGATTATTGAAAAGTCATTTCCATCAGTTTTAGGGGGAGAGGCAGGGAGGGACGCCCTCTTCTATTCATTGTACCTTCCAACTTCACCTCAGCTTCAAATAACATCAGCATTGGTTTACATCCTATGAGACTTGTTGGCCGGGGTATTGGGAACGAGGGCAGGATCGACCTTAGATGGACACATAGCTGAAAACAGGCTTTGAGGGCTCCTGGATGTCAGCACTGGGCCAGACACATTTTATGAATGAGACTGAGGCTCACAGAAGGGCCATCATTTGCTGACTCCCAAGTCTCTCATCTTTCCTCTGGGGCCCATGCTGCCTCTGTACTTCCGGGGTTTGATTGTTTTACCTGTTCACCTTGCCTCCAGTAACTATGTGCTGAACCCCTGTGATTCCAGGAGCACCTCATAGCCCAGTTCTTGGGACAAGGTGGGTGTTCAATATTTGTGGATGAAGGAGGGCTGTGTTCTAGTCCCATTGCTGCGAACCAGCTGGGGGCCTTGGGTGAGTCACTTGGGTTTATAAGCCTCAGTTCCTTATTTTTCCTCAGGGAGTTGGAATATGTGGCTTTTAAGAAATCTTCTTTAGGCTTCTGAAGGTCCGACTCAGTGTTAGATTTGAATTGCTTGAGTGAGGAGGCCAAGAGTTTGGCTCAAAGAACCTCTAGACCTTCCCTGGAGGCTGAAGACCCAAGCTTCTCCCAGTCCTGAAACAAAAGCTAGGAAGGTAGGGGCCTTTTTTCCCCCCTGATTTAGTCTATTTTCTTGACTGTTTACCCGTGTAAATTCTTACAGCTCATGCCCTGTGACTCCAGGCTTTGAGCATGAGAGTGTCAGCCCTAGACAGCCATCAGATGGGTCATCTGGTTCAAGCCCTGTCGTCAGATGAGGAACTATGGTCAGAGGAGCTCGGAGACCCACGCAGGTCTCGTACAACTCCTTTTGCTGCATCTCGTTGGCCACCTTTCTTGCTTTCTCCAAATAAAGCCTAGACACCCCAGCCTCTCACACACCCAAATCCTTCCTCACAAGTTCTCCCCACACCGAGCAGGCAAGCAGGGAGGACTTATTGCAGCCTTCGTGCGAGGCAAGCGGAGTCCCTCAGCATCCAAGGACTTCCTTGCCCAGCTGTTACATGGCAATGACGAGGTGACCGGAGTGCCAGGGAGAAAAATGGTCTTCTTATCTGCTTTGGCTACTGCAAAAACAAACTGGAAGGATTGTTTACGGGGAAAATGGGGGCTGGCAGGTTGATAGCACGGGGCAAAGGGAGACTCTGTTTGCAGTGGGATTCAGTGTTGTGAGCTGGAGGTAAAGGAAGGAATCGATGAAATGTGCAGACGGGTGGCTGAGGTTGAGGCTCCTATGAGATGCCCTTAGGAGGCAGGTTATAAAGAGACTAGGGTGGCTGTCTTTTCTTATGATTTAACAAGTATTTTAGTAGCCACTGTGTGCCAGGCACCTGAGCTAGGTGCTCAGGTTACAAAGATAAAACATTGGAGGCCACTTATGTGTGGAGCTTGGTGCAATAAAAAAATGTCATCATAGGTAGGTGAGGAAGCGAGGTTCTGGGGGAAGACAGTGTCAGGGAAGTCATCTGTAGACAACAGTGTGAAGGGTGAAGAGGTGGTAAGCAGAAAAAGCCTGGTCCTCAGCCCTGGCCACACATTAGAACTACTTGGGGAGTTTTTAAAATGCCAAAGCCCCAACCACACCCCCAATCAATTAAATTAGAATCTCTGGGGTTGGAACTCGGGCATCAATATTGGAAATTCCCAAGTGAAGCCGAAGTGGGGACCACTGGTTTACGAGATAATTTATGTCTCAAGTTTCAGAAGAATGGAATGGCTAAGTGGGTAAATATTGTTGGTTGGTTGGTTGGTTGGTTGGTTGGTTGGTTGGCTGACTGATTGGTTGGTTTTTAATATTGAGCCTTCTTATTCACCCCTTCTAGGAGGCCGTAAGAATTGTCTGTCAGATTTGGGTCCTGGGAGGAGCAGGAGGAAGGGAGGAGGGCAGGCAAGAAGGAAGAAACGGGGAGGAGGAATTTGGGGTTGTGGCATCTAAGCATTTAGTGACATTGTCACAAACCACACACCTCCCTTACTGCCAGGACCTCCTGCAGAATTCCCCCAATTCCATGTCTGGAGTCTCCAATAACCCCCAGGGGATTGTGGTCCCAGCCTCAGCGCTCCAGCAGGGCAACATCGCCATGACAACCGTCAACTCCCAAGTGGTGTCAGGTTGGTGCAGGGGACTGTGGGGAACACTCCTGGGAGGAAAATGGGGTGCCCCAAGGTGGGGGGCAGGGTACTGTAGGAACCATCTTAGGAAATGGGAGGGGGTGTCCCCTGCCAAGGAGGGGCTCCTAGCTCGATTCCTTGACTAAAATGCTCTATAAATTTATAGATGCTTAGCACCAAGACCTGATTGTGATGGTTCAGAACAAATTTGGGTCAGAGTCTCATGAGCCCCTCAAAACCAAATAAAGCTATTGTCCCTTCCCCCAAACAGTTCCCACCAGAGGCTCTGCTCTCTGGACCCTGTTCCCATCCCACCCACCCCCACAATAGGGGCTGAATGCCTCCAGAATAGAGGGTGTTTGCATAGGAGTGCCAAGTGATTTGGAAATCCTGCTTGCCCTCACTCCTACCCACCCCCATGGCAGGGGACCCAAAAACTGGTTGTCTCCTCAGGTGGAGCCTTATACCAGCCGGTTACCATGGTAACCTCCCAGGGTCAGGTGGTCACCCAAGCAATCCCCCAGGGAGCCATCCAGATCCAGAACACACAGGTGAGTGTGTGTGCATAGGGCATGCACTTGGGCATGGGTATGGGGGAGGGCAGCCATAATTGTTTACCATGTGCTGGGCACTTTACACAAGTAGCTCATCTCATCCTTATTATTCCTCCAAGAGGGGTCAGTTACCCCCAGTTCACAGATCAGAAGCCGGGTGTTGGAAAGGCTTTATCAACTCCTGGGATTTCACTACCTGGGATTTCACTCAAAGGATCTTCCACCTCCTATTCCTGGTCTCCACCCCGAGCCACTCTGTAGCTCAGTGGGATAGAGCACACACACAAGTGGCGGGGAGTAAGAGGATCTGAGGTCAGGCCTGAGATGTGACATTAGCTCTGTCATCTTGGATGAGTCGCCCGACCTCTCTGAGTCTTGGAGTTCTTATCCACAGAAGGGGGATTCACACCAGCTGCACAGAGACCTCCCAACCTGCAGGGCTCTGTGAGTGCTGACCATGATAATAGGTAGGAAGGTGCTTTGCAAACTGTGAAGTACCCTAGAGATGCTAATAACTAGTAGATGGTTTCTGGCAAATTTGTCTCTCCTATACCCTCCACATGTCCCTATTTCCTCTGTGTCCTCTCTCATCTCCTTCTCCACTCCTCTTCCTCTTTCTTCTTCTTCCTGTCTCCCATTTTCTGAGGGGCTGGTGCACGGTGACAGGAAAGGTGACCTCCCCAGGGCCCTAAGAATGAGTTGCAAAAGGGGGTTGGCAGCGAGAGCCTGCCGTCACTATAGCAACAGGTCCCTAGCTGCTGGCCCGCCAGCCTGCTGATGCTGATTTTTTCTCCACGTGCCCTGAAGGTTAACCTTGACCTCACCTCCCTCCTGGACAATGAGGATAAGAAGTCCAAGAACAAACGAGGAGTCTTGCCCAAGCATGCCACCAATATAATGCGTTCTTGGCTCTTCCAACATCTCATGGTGAGTGTGTGTATATTGGGGGTGTGGAGTTGCAGCGTGGGGCATGAATAACTCCCCCAGGGTCAGACTCTGCTGTCGTCCCCAGATCTGCACAGGGTGTGGCCCCAGAGAGAGGCTCTCTGATAGAGATCTCATCTTCCAGAGACCGGGTCAGATGGGAGGATTTAGTGGGGCCTAAAGCTGGGACACTCTCTCTAGTGCTTGCTACTGACATGAAAAAGCGTGACATCAAATGAGGGAATGGAGATAGACATGTTCTGAAGAGAACTAAGGACTGGGAAAGTGTCTCATGAAGGCGGTGAGATTCCACGGGGTCAGGGCTGTGGTTGCTACAGGTGGCCATGCACACCCCTGCCCTTCTCCCATGGAAGAAAATGATGATTCTCAGCTCGTGCTCTTCTGTTTCCTGGAGTCCTCACCACTGGGGTAGCAGTGTATGTGTGTCCCTTTTCCCTGTCCCTCTGGTCAGACCAATGAGGCACGGTGCTGGGGAGTGGTGGCTGTGACCATCGAGTCTAGAGGGAACAGCCCAGGGAGAAATCTCCTTCCTTACGTAACAACTGCCTTCATAAGCCTCTATGGTTGCTTCCATAAAATGGCAACACAGCCTTGGGTTTCAATGTAATGTCTATAGAGAGCCTGCTGTGTGCACTAACGTGATGGCAGTTATGTGCTGTATACATTGTTAGTAGCAGCAGATAGGACTTCGGTTGAATGTCAGGAATGAATTTGAAACTATAATCCCCTGGCATCATTCAAAAGTTGTAGCAATAAATGAAGACCAATGGCCATGTCTGGGCTGCCTGTGTAGGATGTGTGTGCATGCGTGTGTGTGTGTATGTTTGTGCACACGTGTGTGTATGTTTGTGTGTGTGTTTGTGTATGTGTGTGTGTTTGTGCGTTTGTGTGCGTGTGTGTGTGTGCACGCACACACATGTGCGCACCAGAGTGGGAGGGTAGATTCTGGACGCACCAGCAAACTGGCGGGAGTCTGCGAGGTCTTGGCCTGGCAGTACAAAGACAGACAGAAGCAAACAAATACCAAGGACTGTCTTGGCCTGTGAAGTGTGGGAAAGAACGGGGAGTGAGGGAAAGTCTTTCTTCAGAGAGGAGAGGAATCAAAGGGATCATGGGAATTAGTCAGTCGGTCAATCAGCAACCCTTCATTTGAAATGCCTTGGAGCGCCTGGGTGGCTCGGTCAGTTAACGGCTCAGGTCATGATCTCGCGGTTTGTGGGTTCAAGCCCCTCGTCGGGCTCTGTGCTGACAGCTCAGAGCCTGGAGCCTGCTTCAGATTCTGTGTCTCCCTCTCTCTCTGCCCCTCCCCCACTCATGCTCTGTCTCTCAAAAACTGAATAAATATTAAAAAAAAAAATTTGAAGTAAGAGTACCTCCAGAAGCCATGAAGCCCAAGCCTGGGCCATCATTCCCAGATATGGGCATCTTAGGGACCCTGCCCTGGAAGTGCTGGGCCCACACGCCCAATGAACAGGAAGAATTGTTCAACGGTGACCAGTGAGGGGCTGGAGCTCTGCCTCTCCCCTCACATGGCCAGCCCCCAGCTCTAAGGTCTTGGGGCCACCCCAGTGAAAGCTGAGGAAGCAAAATTTGGAAGCACCACCTAGAGAACAACCAGGAACCTAATTTGGAGAGAGGGGGTTGGAAGGCTATGGGTCAAGGTGAGGAGAGGAGGTTGGAGAGACTCCAGGAACTTAGTGTTGAAGCCAGGAGCAGGGCCAGGTATGGAGGCTTCCCTCAGGCCTCCTGGGAGCAGCTCTGACTCAGTAGCCGAAGACGGTGGTGGGGATGCCCAGGCCTCTTGCGTGTCCTGGTTTTCCACACCATCAGGGAGCCCCGGTGGCCCTGTGAGCCCTGTGTCCATGCTACAACTCCCAGCCCCACCTGTGGGAAGAGGGGCTCCCTGGGAAAGATCCATTTCTGTGCCCTGGCCCATCATACCCAGCATGGGGGCAGCCGTCCCTCTCCCATCCCCACCCTGCCACGGGTCCAGAGCTGGCTCCACACGTTGTGGCCCAGTGATGTGTAACTCTACACTATGAGCATGGTTGAAGCTCATGGGCGTTTGAGGGAGCCAAACCTGAGCTCAGATCTAGACTCTACCTCTTACTCTGTAACCTGGACACACTCACCTCTTGTGAAGATGACGAAGAAGCAACAGAATAATTGCCAAGATCCTGGCACACTGAGGGGCTTAATACACATTAGTTCCCTGTCCTTCCTTCCCTGCCTCCCCCACCCCATGCATTTTTGAAGACTGATGTGAACATACCTGCAATATCATCCCTGAGGGGGAGAAAAGGCAAGCATAGGAGGGGAGAGGAGGCTGCAATACCATTTCCCCTGCCCAAGCGCCCAGGCCAGCACCTGCACTGACTCCTGCGGGCTCCTGCTTCAGCTACCTGCCACACCCCATTTGCAACTCGCCCCTGACTTAAGTCTTGAGACTACAGCGTCACCCTATCTGTCCCTCCTGGCTGTGTCTCCCCTCTGACCTTGGACTTCAGTTTACATCCTGCCCTTTTGCCCCCTTCCTGCTGAACCCCCCTCTACAGCTTAGGGTCGTTTCTTTCCACTCCATGGCCACTTCCAGCCAGACTAGGGATGGCGGGAAAGTATAGGTGGAGAAGAGGAGGAGTAGTCACTGAGCACAAAGAAGAGGGGGAGGAAAGACCCAGATCGGCTCTACAAAAGGAATTGGGAACCATTGAGAGGGCTTGCTGAAAAGCATGAGTAAGACTTTCTGCCCCACACCCTCCCACCCTGGACCCTCTCCAGCTCCTAGTGCACTCAGTGCGGATACTATTAATAAAGCACTTAACATTGGCAAAGTCCTCCCTCGGTTAATGCCTTCCTCACAGCGGCCATCAGGAGAGGACAAGGGAGTGACCCCTAGCCCTTTAAAAAAGTCACAACTCAGAACCTCTGGACCGGAGAAGGAAGGGATGGGGAGATGTTCAGGCTCTAGGGACACAGCACAGCACAGCTGTCGCCTGCAGGCCCAGTCTGGGCCATGGATCAGCCTGGCTACCCAGACACGGGTGGACGCACACACCCCCAAACCCCAGCTCAGGAGAGGCTATGAAGACTGGGTAGGGGGGCACAGCAGAAAGAAGACAGGCTTTCAAGACAGACACACAGGGGCATGAACTGAGGTCCTGCCCCCAGCTGTGCAATCTCTTGGAGTCTATTTCTTTGAAAAAAGATAATACCCATTTCTCATGCTTGAAAAATTAAATGAGATCACATGTATAAAGAGCCAACCTTGGTACATAGTCACATTTGAGAAATGTGAATCCTCTTTGAACTTTCTAGAACAATGCAAGGATTTAGTCTAGGACTAAGAGCAAGTTTTTGAGACTCGGGCCCACAATTTGTGCAAATTAGAGGTGGACGGCTGATCTGTTGTTCTGATCTATAACACTTACTGATTTTGCCATCTTTTGACCCTAAAAATATACTGAAGAATACCGTTACCGTAATTGTAAATTACTCCAGGATAGAGATCATACATTACATCTCTCCTGTGGGTCCTAAAAATTTGCTTCCCAAAGTGTGTACCTTTATAGGATGTTACAAGTGTTGCTCCCAAGACAGGTTAAATGAGTTGGGGAAAATCTGGGTTATACAAAGATTAGCTCAGTTCTTGATTCTTAGTGAATGTGCAAGAGGGGTCATGATTGGAAGATTTCCCCAAACATATTTGATCACTCGAAGACCGCCTTTGTTTTCATTGTCACTTTGAGGAACAACTCTGAGACTGTAGCTCTTGGGAGATACAACTCTGCGGTAATGCCTTATGGGCATAGAGTAGTTGTTCAAGTTTTAGGAAAATAGGGTAGAAAAAAGTATGAAAAAGGACAGATCTCAATATACAGTAGACGTTCTCCTATCCAGTACAGTGGGGACAACCCATTTGTTGATGGCTTAATTGGAAAAGTTGGCTGAAGAAAGGAACAGCCATTAAAAAGATACATTTCAGAGGCGCCTGGGTGGTTCAGTCGGCTGGGCATCCAACTTCGGACCAAGGCATGATCTCGCCATTTGTAAGCTCAAGCCCCACATGGGGCTGTTTGCTGTCAGTGCAGAGCCCAATTTGGATCCTCTGTCTCCCTCTCTCTCTGCCCCTCCCCCACTCACACTGTCTCCCTCAAAAATAAAAATAAAAATAATTAAAAAATAAATAAGAACAAAAAGATACATTTTATTTTAATGTAGAATATATGCACACACATTGGTTTGCAAATGTCCTGATAGAGGGGGGAAGATCTTTTTCTGATTAAGGGTCATACTTTTACCAGCACAGACCTCTCCTATAGTAGAACATCTATAAATTCCATCCTTATTTAACATCAATAAGAACTTTGATGTCTGGGAAGTAATCTGGCTACGGGATCTTTCTAGACTTTTGTTATGTATTCCAGCCTCTTAAATTTGCCTCACCGATCCTGACTATATGGCATTTTTAAGGAAATCGGAATCTCGAATCTTTCCAAAGCATTCCACTTAGTTTTCTTAGCAAGAATAACCTTCTTTTTGCACTTCGATGGTATTGGTTCACAGAATAGTTAATTAAATCACATGATTACACTAGCACGTATAGACGGAGTAAACCAGTCTGGATACAAACACTGCCAACTTCCTGAGAAGGAGATACTATTGTCTAATGAACATTCTACACAGTAGCCTGTTCACCTGGAGCATCCAGGACAATGTGGACATTAGTTCACCTGGGTTGCAGAAGAGATGGAGAGCATATGCTAAATCCACAGTCTCGATTAGTAGAGATTGTTCATTAAAACTTCTGTCATAAATACTAGTCTTTTCTGTTGTCTTCTTTCCCTCGGGGAGAAGCTCGTATTCTTTGACTCCTTTCGTCCTGTGTGTGAGGCTTCTTGTCATTTCCACTGTTGTGTGGCATTAGCAGCTACAGAAATAGATTCAGATGAGAGAATGCTCCTGAACTGGGACTTTCCCCCCAG